AAACACTAGTAGGACAGAGTAGCTATATTAAAATCAAAAAGTATACTTTACAACAAGCAATATGATCAGAGATAAAGAATATTTTATAATTATGAGTCTATTTCTGAGAAATACATTAACAGCCATAAATGTATATATACCTAATAGCAGATTCAAAAACTACGAATCAAAAGGCAACAAAATTAAATGAAGAAGGAAACAAATTCACAATCATATTTAGAGATTATAACAATGTTCTCTCATCAATTGACAGAATAACTAGACAAAAAATAATCACTAAGTACACAGAAGACCTGAACGATACTATCAATCAGCTTAACTCAATTAACATTGATAGAACACTAAACCCACCAATTACAGAACTTTTTCTTTCAAGAGAACATGGTATGTTTGCCAAGAAAGACTAAATGTTGGTCCATAAATTAAGTCTCATGACATTTTAACCCCGCCCCTGGTTCACAGAAAAATTGTCTCCCACGAAACTGGTCTCTGGTACCAAAAGCTTGGGCACCACTAGTCTAAGGCACAGTCTGGATGCTGGGATTTCTTAAACTGCCAAGTCATTCTAATGTGCAGGCAAGGATGAGAACTGTTGTTCTAGTCACCACCTAATTAATTGAATGAAGAGAAGACGGCACTTTAACTTTATAAGAAATATGCTTGTTTGCTCATGATTTTCCCAAATGAGTTGACATTATCATATTAATATGGCTGTTACTTTAGGACCAGGTCAGATAAAGAAAACTTTTTGTAAGAATTTGACTTTAGTGAGAAATCTAGCAAACAAGAATCACTATTACAGGCTCCATAGTAGAATTTATGTGTCTTATGACTCACATGGGCCAATCCTTTGAATGAACAAAGAAGTTACTAATTTATTTGGAAGAAAAAAGATTGAGAGCAAGAGCAGGAGAGTGTAGGAAGGAAGAAAGAAGAAAAACCAAATAAATGAAGAAAAAATAAATTAAGAATTACTTATATTTAATATGGGAACTGGAGTGACCAAATGTCCAGGTTTGCCCTCACACTAAATAATTTCCTAGAAGCCAAGATTTTCAGTGCTAAACCTGGTACAATACCAGGCAAGCTAAGATGAGGTTGTCACCATGATGTGAATTAATACTGGTGCTCTTCTTTCCATGACTCCAAGAGTGTCCCCAGAGTCAAGTTACGCAGGATACCCTCAGTTAATTCACTTCCATCATATTGCAACATAGTGAGATTTAAGGATAATATTAGTGTGGATAATCTAAAACACAACATCTCTAAAAGGTATAATCTATAATAATGATACAAGCCTCTTGTACCATGAAAAGAATCATTAACAGATAAAAGACTCCAAAAGAATTGTCAAACTTAAAAATAAACTATATGTATTTTAATATATTTTTAAAAGTTTAAATAAAAGCATTAAATTTACTGATCTTTTGGTTGACTGTTCAAAATACACTACCTATGGAAATTTTTAAAAATAATAAACAATTTGCATCTAATCTGGACCATCAAGATAAAAGATAACAGTCTAACCATATTTTTAGAAATTCATGATGGAGAGAATACTCAGAAAGCAGAAGTTTAATGGATATTCAAGAATGTTTCCATCATGTTGCATCATTGCTAACAGTACAGGTGACACCTACAAGAACTCATATCTTCACAGATTTTTTTTAAGTAGAAACAATTTTTAGCTTATTTACATTTTTTTCCAAATAAAGAGTTTGAACAGTTTTAACTCACTGTTAAAAAATTTAAAGGCAACAACTTCAGTAAGTCTGCAAGACTAGTTGACACCAACAAAGAAGAAAAATGTCTAGTTAAATTTAAAAATAAAACCTTCACATAACTAGTGGAAGGGACTCTTAATGATTTGGGGTAATTTACTTAGCACAGCTAATGATATACTATTTTTATTTGGATCTAAATATCTTTATGTGACATCATTTTCAGCTATAACATCCATTCAAACAAAGTACTGGATCAATTTAAGTTAAACCCAGATCTTTAAATAGGTATATCACAATAACTTTCAAAAACAATTAGGTATATTCAATAACATTTCTTCTTCTGAATATTCTGTATAGTTAATGAAGTCAAATGGATTTTTGTACTATTAGTAAATAAAATAATTAAATATTTGTAGTGTACTACTTATCTCTACCTCATCTCTTAAAATTCCTATTATTCTGAATGTTTTATAATGGGGATTATATTCATAGACTATTTCAAGGATATAGTTTACAAATAACTGAATGTATTATATAAGAATATGTAGATATTCATACTGAAAAGAGATCTCTGAGCTAGAAAACTGCTTCAAGGCAGATATCTTAGACACTTTCTCATTACTGGGACAAAATACCTGACACCCACAAGTTAAAGGAGAAACGTTTTATTTTAGCACACAGTTTGTAGAGGTTTCAGTCCATTGTCATCTTGCTCCCACACAGGATTCCATGGCAGAGGGGAATGGCAGAGGAGAAACAGCCCATGGTAGCCCAGACAGGAGGCAGCATCAACAAGCCTCTCTTTCCCTTTTTATTTCATCCAGGTTACAAACCTATTAGTTGTGCCATCCACACCCAGTGTGGGGCTTCTGTCTTCAATAAATCCATTAAGCCAAAACTATGCCAAACCAACCAGTGAACTATTCCGGTATCACACCCCTTTAATCTAGTATCACACAGCCATAATCCAGCCATCTCCCAAAGCCCCACCTATGAGTGTATGAGGCTTTAGGGAGATACCTAGATACAAGCCATAAGAGCAGACAGTAGTATTACTTATGATGCTGGCCTGCCCAAGAGTTGACACTCACTAAGTAAATATGTGTTGATGATAGATAGATGAAAAAAATGCTCAACATCATTAATTACTAGTAAAATGCAAATTAAAGCCACAATGAGATGTTATCTCACAATTCTCAGAAGAGCTACTATCAAAAAGTCAAAAGTTAACAAGTGCTGGCAAGAATGTGGAGAAAAGGGAATCCTTGTATAATATTGATGGGAAAGGATTATGGAAAATTATTTGGAGGTTCCTACTAAAACTAGAATTACCATATGATCCAGCAATTCCACTTCTGGATGTTTATCCAAAAGATTTGAAATCAATATGCTGAAGAGATGTCTCCACTCCTATGCTCATTGCAGCACTAGGGGCCAAGTTATGGAATCAACCTCAGGATCTACAACAGATGAACAGATAAAGAAACTGTGGTATATATGCACAATGGAATACTATTCAGCCTTTAAAGAGAAAGAAATTCTATCATTTTCAACAACATGGATAGAATAGGAGAATACTATGCTAAGTGAGATAAGCCAGACACAGGGACAACTACTATGTGGTCTCACTTATATATGGAATCTAAAACAGTCAGACTCATTGAGGCAGAAGATAGAAACAGTTACAGAGGATGGAGGATGGAAGTACAATAAAGTCTCAGACAGGCGTAATGAGAGTTTTTAAAGATTTCATGGTATGGTGAATATTATTAATAATGTATTATCTATTTCAAAATTGCTAAGAATAAATTTCAAATGTTCTCACCACAAAAATTAAGTATTTGAGGTCATATAATGTTAATTAACTTGATTTAATTATTCCACATTGTACTCATAAATCATAACATCACTTTGTATCATACATATATGAAAAAATTTTAAATGTACTGGTTTCCATGAACAAATTAAACTCCTTCCACAGTAGCCATAGTTATAAACTGAAAAATATTTAAAGAACACCAGCTTATGAATGTTTCTACATAGCTGTTCTGTATTTATAAGTACAATAAAGGAGACTCCACTATAATCAACTTATTAATATTTAAGAGTAGCCAGCAGTCAATCTCCCACACTAATTCAACAAGGAATCGTTTAATGTCTCACATCTGACTCATAAGTGAAGTAAATTAATACAAAATATGTTATGGTTTCTGATTTCATGAAACTCACGTATAGCTTTATACTATGTCTTCAAACTTCAATTAGAGGTGGGTATAGCCTGATATTCAGGGAACTTGAACCATCTGCTTATGTGATTTTGCTACTTTTTACATGTCTACTTTCTTCATCTTACCACACATTCATCTGCTCCTGGCTCCCCAAGTTCAGTGCCGGAAATATACAATTTGTGGATAGGAATCTTATAAAACGCCAACCTACACCCATAGCAGACTATGTTGTGCCTTTTTAATGGATCTTTCTTTACCATTGAGCCTCACTAAAACTAGAGGGAAAAATCCAAATTATTTCCTTCCATGTCTTATTTCTAGATTCTGATCTACATGAAAATGAAAAAAGAATAATGGTGATGACCATCTCAAGTGAACTAAATAACAGATGTGCTCATGACCCCCTAAATATGGAAATAAAGCATCCAACAGAATAATGTGGGTAATTTTAAAAATCATTGCCCCAACAAAGATTAATAATGAAGGCAATGAGTTCAGAGGCCATTTAGCAACTCAGAAAATCACCAGGAAAAGGAGACTCCTCCAAAATTGTTACCTACTCCAAAGACTGGGTTTCAGGGGACTGGCTTCTTAGATTTGTTTCATTATGATGTTTGGCCCTAAGAGATGCCTTCCTTGGGGCATGATGTCACATGCTCCTGAGTGCTGACTGATGGCTTTCCAGACCCTGCTATATAAATGCCAATGGTAGAAGTCCTGGACTTCTTAGTCCTGGACACCCAGCATCATGAACAGATAGTTACTTGTGTCACATGAATAACAGGAAGAACAATGGAGTTAAAAGATTTTTCTTCCAATTCTCAGACCCACATTCTCCTGGAGACCAAGAATATTGGCGATACACATATTCTCCTTGGGAGAAGAGGACCAGATGCCAGGCACATTGTACCAGATTTTATCTCCTCCTGCAACAGATCAATTTGCAAAATCAAGACAGTGTAAGGTCCTTCCTCTAATGACACTGACAGGGGAATGAAAGCTAAGGGAGATTAATTTAATAAGAAATAAAACACTTTGGCACAGGAAAGTCTGTACAAATCTTTATTGAAAAATGTTTCCATCTTTACACAATAACCCAGGAAGAAACCTTAATTGATTACTACTATCAAGACAGTGAGTTTTAAGAAAGGGAAAAGATACTATTTCAATCCTAGCAAACACATAAAGTACTTTAATTCCTTGCTAGTTTTTACCAAGCTTAACCCATTGTGGAGGTTACTTCTGCATCTTCCCACATCATCAAGTAGGTGGAAAATCTTGCATAGTGTTTTTATGGAAACTAAGGCTCATCAGACAGATCTCCTCTCTTTTTTGCTTGCTTACCATCACTACCAAGATGTATATTTATCATCTAAAATGTCTTAAGCTTTTAAATCTAAACATTACATCTGAATAAAAATAATTCAAGATATGTGTCCTAGGATTTTAGGAAGATACTGAGAAATCAGGGCCAAAATAAACCCAAAACAGGAAAAAGAGTCCAAAAGTGACAACTTTCTCCAGAGTTTTTAATCTGAAATGGTAAAGAAAATAATTCAAATTATCATTTCCCAGAAAAGTCATTACTTCTCCATAGATTCCACTGGCTAAAATGTCTGCCTAACAGTAATAGTGGTGTCATTAGCAGACAATGCACCAGTTCCCAAGGCACATAGCCACTTTCAGGAGCTAAGCGACAACCGTGCTTGATCACCTACAAATCTGATGCTTCTCCAGGAAAAAAAAAGATAAAATAAAATTTCAAATGAAACCTAATGGTACTTCTGGCTGAGGCTCTATAAATCCCCAGGAAGGATGGTGCTTGGATGGAAGAAGCCTTGGCTCCATGTAATTGTGGCTTTGGATGATTTAAGATTTTAAAAAATAAAAAATAAAGCCATATAACAGCACTAAGCAAAGATCTCCTCACCACTAGACCTCAGGGGGTCATGGCAGAGGATCTCGAGAGGGGCAGAAACAACCAAGCACATCATTCATCCTGTTTACTACAACTCAGCTTTCCCTGTATCCTCAACAGCTTCAAACCCACCTTTTAAATCAATATTTCTCCTAAGTTTATTGTCCTTCTTAGTCACCAACTAAGCTAGAGGTAAATCATTCCTCTGCCTTTTTCTTTCCATAAAACCCAAACTCCCCTCTCTATTCACCCCTCCCCAGCCACAGACACACACACATGTGCTCCCATCCCTACTCTGTCCCTTTCTGTCTCTCACTCACCCCTATCCACCCTCCTCACAAAAGCAGTTCTGGCTCCACACAGCAGCTCTGGTATCCTGAGGTCCCCAGTGGGCCAATGCAGCTCCATCATCTCCTCCCCTTCTGCTAGTCACCAGCACAGAGAGGGCCAGGCATCCTTATGTTCTGGGTGTTTCCTTCCCACCCCTCCCTGTCAGTACACTGAGCCCCAGGCTTGAGCCTTTGCTGCCTAGATCGACCCTAAATCCGGCCAAGGCTGAGAACAGCAAACAAAAAAGCAACTGTGGGAACTGACAACTCGAGGATTCTGGCATCAGGTCTTTCCTTGGCTGCCTCACCTGGGAGGTGCTGGCAGGGATGGGCTCCCTGCAAGCATCTTAAAATGTTAGAAGGCATTACTGGCCCTAGGACAGATACACCATGCTGCTGCTACCTCAAAGCAGTGGGCACGGGATAGAGGGGGTCTTCTCTAAGGAATAACACTGAACAGAAATGGGACTGTCTGGGCCACACATCAGGTGACATGTGGCATAAAATATTATTCCAATATCCCTATGGGGTGGGGAGAAAAGGGAAGGAAGGCAGAGAGGGAGGGGAAAGAGAAAGAAAAGGAGGGGAAAACACAGGGAAGTCTACAATTCTAATTTTGAGTAAAAAGAAATGGCTATTCCAAACAGATATGAATCTGGGCTAAAATTCCAGGCTCGTTTTTAAATCCCAGTTGCAGGGAATAGGATTCTCAGTGGGAAGCAAACCCTAGAAGCCTTCCACAGAGAGGGTATGGTTAAGCTCATAGGTGTTGCTATCCTCTTCCTCCAAAAGCAGCTTGTCGATGGTCAGGGAACTGATGGCCCTCCTGGGGTCGTCCATGTCCTGAAGGACTGGCTCAGGGATAGAGATGGGGAGCTGGACAAACTGGGGTCCAGGCAGGGCTGGGGCTGGAGGCTGGTACTGCAGTGTAGAGGTAGGCAGCGTGGAAAGGGGCTGAGGCCACGGGAAATAAGTGAGGGGTGCCTGGTGCTCGGGACCCTCCAGCGGGGGCCCCATGGTGGGCGTGGCAGCGCTTCTTGTCTGTGATGGGAAACACAGGACTAAGGGTTAGCAACCAGTATGTCCATCCAGCTATCCCTGCCTCAAAGGAATCTCCAATTTCTCCTTCAATTCTGCCCTTACCTAGTTTCTCACTTCAAGAGCCTCTACCTCCTCCTGCTCAAGGTCTCCCTCTTGAGGGAGAGCCAAACAAACCTCAGATGTATCCTTCATTTGCCTGTATCTATGCACATGCTACTTTCTAATTCAGAAGCCTCATCTCTCTCCTCTACACACTGGGATAAAAATAGTAATGAAATCATAGGACTGAGTATATTAGGATTTTCCAGGTTGCATTGATTTTAAAATGCATCCTGATTTTAGAGATCTTAAAATGTGAAAAATACATGAGTCTTACTTAAAATATATGAAAATACATGTTAAACAATGAGCCTGTCACATAGCCTATTTAGCTGTATCTGGAAGGTGACTGCTGTCCTGACCAGACAGAAAAGCAGTTCTGGCTCCACATGGCATCTCTGGTATCCTGAGGTCCCCAGTGGGCCAATGTAGTTCCATCATCTCCTCCCCTTCTGCTAGTCACCAACACAGAGAGGGCCAGGCATCCTTATGTCCTGGGAAGCATTGTTCTGCCAGCAAACTTGGCCTTTCTTCCTGGTGCTGCCTGGTATCTTCCTTGTCCTTTACTCCTCTGATTCTGAGCTGTCCCCCATGGCAATCTCACCAGGGGCCCCCCTGACTCTCCAAAGCTCAGAGCCATTATCCCACATGCTCTAGAAACTATACATCCCACCTGCACAGAGACTACCTTATGAACCTCAGATCCAGCCTGCTAGAGAGGCAGGGCCCTGATTCTTTCTGTCCTTTCACATTTGAGGAAAACAAGTAGAAGAAGAAGTTCTCTTCATAGACTGAGGTGAGATCAAACTCTCCCCTTCCCACCTCTACCTCCCTGTCATTCTTTTGTTGCCACTGTGCCTTGAAAGTAAATTGCTAGAGTCAGACACTTAGGGAAGAGCTTGTTTTTTATTTTGCTGGCAGTCTTGTTATAACACAGACTCTGGTCCAGGAGGCAGGGCCTGGGATGGGGCCTGAGATTCTGCATAATCACTTGTTCTTTGACATATGGTCCTAAGCCTAGCCTCCTGAAACAAGACAGAATCTAGGAAAGCCTTATTATTTCTGTATTTCAAAAATCCAAGTGGTGCTCCTAGGCCATTGCAGGCTTCTTTCCTCAGGGATAAAATTACACCAACCTAGCACTCTGCTGATCATGAGAGCTGACTGGTAGCTCAAGCCACCTTTGATGAGTTAATTTACAAATTGTCAAAGTAAATAATTTATTCTTAATAAATACAGTTTGTTTGGTATACAGAACCTTTCAAAGCAAAAGGTGGAGATGATAAAAGAAGATAAATAATGAAAACAATTCTCAGCAATGAAATGGCTGGGAAACTACTACATCCTCTACCCTCTGACCTCCACCCCATGCTCAGTGATATGGAAATGAGTCACCTGGGGAACTACTGCATCAACTCCTTCTACCTACTTTCATTAAGGCCCCACAACTGATTTTCTAAATAGCCAGGTGGGCATGAGTGTTAGCCTCCCATAGGGGGTTGCCTGGAAAGTGCTAGGAGGCAGGGAGGAGGTGCATTGGGATGACACTGGACCCTAGAGTGAAATAGAGGGGACATGGGGAACCAACGCAAGTTCCACCAGCAAGGGCGCATCTGTAACTACCCCTGAGGCCCCAGCTGTACTTCCCACAGGTGCCCTGCAGTGGAGCCAATGCCACTGAAACCACAGCCGTTATTCCTTTGAACACCTGAAGGATCTCCATGCTTTTGGTCAGATAGGCACCATTCACATAAAACTACGTCTCTTTCTTCCTCCATTCCCAGAGGAGCAGACCCTTCCTTTCCTATCTGACATTTGAAGATGGTCCTTGGTTAATGTCATGAGCAGATTTGGATGTGATGATAACTAACATTTACTGAGGGCTTTCTGAGTGTCAGGAAATGTGCTAAGCTATGCATTAGCTCATTTGATCCTGACAACAACCCTCTTGTTAATATTTTCATTTTACAAATGAGGACACTGAAGCTAAGAGAGTCCAAATTACTAAGCTCAAGGTCACATAACTAGTAAGTAAAGGGGTGAGGATTTGAATACAGCCAATCTGACACTACAGATTGAAACCAAAAATTACCCTTCAGATGGGTCTGAATCAAAAATACAATTTTCTGGAAAGTTGCTTCACATTTTGCTCAGCCTAGAAATCATGTGGCAAATTCCTTTGTCAAGTGAACAATTAATTCACTGTTTCAGAAAAAAAAAAAAAAAAGGCTGGCCCTGGCAGAAGACGCCATGGAGATATCATTTACTAAAAACTTTGCCCCACAATCAAGACTCACTTCTTCTGAGGCAGCTGAGGAGATTCAGGAGAGAGAAGCAGGGGACCTTTGCAACCCTAAGGAGCAGAGTCATGACAAGACAGGCATGAGATGTCTGGAAAGTATGTGGGGCCTATGGGAATAGCAGCAGATTTCCTAGATGACACTGGACTTAGATGACCTATAACAAGGAAGGTCAGGGGTCATAAAGTTAGCTCTGTTTCTAAAAGGGTGCCCTCTGCTTTTGCATGACATACCGTGACATTAGTGATGAGTGGTGGGGAGGCGTAGGTCAGCACTGATGAGGGCCCCACAACTGTGTAGCTGGGGCATACAGGCTGCACATACATGTCGGCTGAGTAGGGGCAGCTGACAGCTTCATGGGACACATATTCGGTGTAGGGTGTCCATGGGGTCAGGGGCTGGAGGGTGGCTGGGGCAGGTTGGGAGAGCCAGCTGGCACACAGGGCCCCCTCCTCTGTCACTGTGGAAGCAGAGACCTCCATGTCAAGGCAGGAAGGACCTGTGAGGGAAAGAAAATTGCAGAACTGCAGGTGCCAACCAGAAGAGGGACCTGGAGGAGCCCAGGGCTGTGGGGAGATCTTACCCACTGTGGTGTAGGTTGCCAGGGGCTGATGGGGCAGCACCACCTAGAGGAGAGAAGAAAAGACAAGGACCAGTATTTAGCCATCTCCATCTAGTCCTATGCAGGAACTCACTCGGGGGCCCCAGGGTAGCAGAGCATAGAGAAGAAACTCCCTTGTTAAAACAAAACGCCCACTTTATATACCAGTTACCACCTCCTACATTTGTGAGGGACTTGTGTTTCCATTTTCCAAGAAGTCTGTGTACTTAAGGAACTGTCATCTTACTCTTCCTTGAGGAAAACCCCAACTCACTTTAGGGTATGTGTTTTTCACTTACTTGGGCCTTATCAATAACTTTTCTCAATGGGCGAAGCAAATAAGTCCCCCATCCCTCATCCCACTTCAAGGAACCACCAACTGTGCCCTAGGTCCATCACCAGGTAATTTGCTGTCTTCATACCCCCATGGACAAGGAAGTGCATTTCTGCCTGACCCCTTTGCCCCAACACATACACACATACGCACACCCACACACAACACGCACTGGCCACAACTGTCCTCTCACCGCAGTTGGTGCAACAGCTGCCCCGCTGCTGGCATGGCCACGCTTCCTCCTCAGCAGTTCCTTCACTGGCTCCTTCACTCGGACACCCTGATATGGTCGAGCTGGTGCCGGGGCTTGATCTGGAGTGGTGGCTGTGAAAAGCAATGTCACTGGAGCCCATAGCTCTTTTCAGACAAACCCCAACCCCAAGTGCCCATTTCCTTGAGCATCTCCTGCTTCCAGGTTGTGCTTGATCACCAAAAACTACAGGAGACTTGCCAGAGTATTTCTCTGCGTAACAAAACCCAAACTCTTCCTATCCCCAAACTTTCCGTGACTCCTCTACACCACAATTAGGGCCCAGCCCCTTGGTCTAAAATTGAAAGGCTTTCACAATGGGATCTGAACCCATTTTTCTAACTACTTTGCACACTAACCACTACTTAAACTAGCTCCTACCGGAAGATCTGGCCATACTTCTCCACATGGGTCACCTTCCCATCTTCTTCTTTAGGTTTTCCATGGCCAAAATCTTCCCCCACTTCTTTTGACCTCTGCTGTCCATGGAATTTCTGTATTTTCAATTCTCAAATACTTCCAGATCTGATTAGCATTCATCACAGGTGGCAGTAGAGGACAGCAGTAAAAGTAGGGACTCTGAGTCAGGTGGGACAAACCTTAAATCCTGCTCCTGCCACAATCTAGCTATGTGATTCTGGGCAAGTTACTAAGCCTCTCTGAGCCTCTTAATTTGCAATTTCTTATCAAAGGAATGTTTTGAGGAGTCACTTGATAATAGTAAATTAAAAATAAGCTACATGTTTTATATAAAATCATATACAGAGTAAGCACTCAATAAATTTTTATCCTGCTGTATATTAGTCTGGTATACATTTCTCATGCTCCCAATCAGATTATAAACTTATCAAGGTAAAATAATGCACCTTATTTCTCTGTATCTTCCCAAATGATGTGTCCATAGTAAACTCTGTGGTTATGTGTTAATTATTCATGTGCCGCCAGCCATTTATCTTCCCTTTATCTCTCCTGGACCTTTAGAATGAAGGGCCTGGAGCAAGTGGTCCCCAGGTTCTTCTAGACTTACAGGACCTGGGAAAAACACCCAATGGTGATCTGTTTTCCCTGGGGCTAGAGAATATTCACTTTGCTACTGAGATCTTTCCTTTCTTTTTGTCATCAAAGACAAGAAGCCAAAGCACCAATCCAAGAATAGGCCAGAGGATAGGGTCTTTCCTGGCCTAGGAGAGCAAGCCCAAAACAGCCATTTTGGGTCATGCAGCCATGGCTCTGCATGACAACCTGCCCAATCAGATGGTCTGGGTCCTTAGAGAGCAGGCCCAGACCTAGGTCAGACAAGACTGGAGGGAAGCATTAGCCCTCAGAACTCACATGGGAGCCCATTATCATTGCATGATAAGGGTTCCAGGGGCCCAGGCTATAAATCAAAGGCCCGGAAGCCTGAGTATCTATCTGTTAAACCCGGATCCACAATGCTGCTTTGGCTGAACTTTGCTCAGTAAACAGCCAGCTGATAAGGTCCCATGCCTGACTGGGCACCAGACCTCCCTCCAAGTTCTAGGCAACAGCATGACCTGGGCTCCAAAGCCCAGTAAGCAGAGAAATGTAGGCACAGGAGGGAAGTTGAGCCCCAGGGACAGATGATGTGAATCAGGACTGCAACATCTCAGACTAGGCTTCAAACCAATCTGCTGAGATCCCTAACCTGGCCATGAAGCACAATCCACCAGAGAGCAATGCAAAATTCAGATACCCATGTCTCTGCTCCTAGAGAGTCTGCTTCCAGGGATCTGATTAGGCCTAAGAGGTCTATATCCCTCTGGTAAATCCCTCTGGTAATCCTGAAGATGTGCTGAGATTAGAACCACTATTAATTCATCCCTGATTTAACAGAAGAATCTCCCAATAGGAGATTAATCGTTCTTTCTTGAACTTTCCTCTCATAACAAATATGAATACTGGTATTTAATCATTTTTTCAATTATTACTGGAGATGTATGTGATCCTTTCCTGTGTGGACCTTGTAGTCTAGTGAGGAAGATAAGCAATAAAAGTTACCAGTAGAATAGATGTCCCAACTTGTGAAATTCAGGCTGGTTAAAGACTGCATAGCAGCAGGAGCCACACTAATATCTGTGCCCATGGACCACCTTCAAAGCTTGAAACACCTGTATTCAAATCTGGGTTATCACTTATTGCTAGGAAATTCTCAGATTCTTTTAATGACTCTGGGCCTCAATTTCCTCATCTATAAAACAGAAATAATAACTCCTCTCTCCCACACTTGTGGTAAGGAGTAACTGAGTAATTGAGGAGCTCCCAAGGTCAGGTCCAGCATATGGTAGATGCTCAACACATGTTATTTTTCTTCCCTTCCCTCTACCCACATCTACCTTCTTTGGGAAACTATAGTATCAAAAAGTTCTTCCTCCTACTGAACCTGCCTTATGGTAACAAGTACCACATTTCCTTGTGGTATATTCCATTTATATTGCAATTCATCCATTTATAGCTTTCTTGTCTATAAAACAATCAAAATGGTATGTATGTGGTAGGTAATTACATGTAAAGTGCTTAGACTAGAGCTTGGCACAGGGGCCCTTTAATGCATGGGAGCTAATGTTATTAGTAGGGATAGCAATATCTCTTGCCTAAATGAACTTCTCATTCTGTCAGCCATTTCTCAATAACTTTTTAAACCTCAGCCTGCCTTCTGGGTACATCCCTCCTCTACAAGTTCCACTTTCCACAACCCTGTCTGCTTGTGCCAGTGCTACCCACAGACTCCAGGTGTGGCCTCACATGGCAAAGAGCAGAGCTACCTGCTCCTCCCACATTCTGCTCAAGGTCACCCATGGTCACATCAGGTTTATTCACAGCCATATCATGCAATATATTCAAGTAGGTTTCCTGCTATTTCTTAGCCACAAGTGCAGCTTGAGATCCCATGTACTTAGGAGAAATTTGGGGCATGGAGTTATTTGGAGGTCCAACCACTGTGTTTACCCTATCCCAATTCATCTTGGAAATAAGAAAAGCCCAATCCCATAAGCACAGGTCTCAGCCCAGATCAAAGACAGGTACATAGCTCACCCATCTCCCTCTAATTTGCATGTAAACTTCTGGGGAAGGGCCCAGAGGCCTCCTGATCACACTCCCTCCCAGGAAGGCAACACACCACGCTCTTGACTGGGAAGGAACGAGCTGGACGCTTTCAGGATCTTGTCAAGTAAGGGCTTCCTGCCTCCTGTTGTTTTAAAATCAATGAACAAAGAGGGCTCTGGGAGTTGCTGTGAGCAGATGGCCTCGCCCACTAATGTCTGGACTTCCTTGGAACCCACAGTGTTAACAGATGTGGCCTGGCACAACAGAGCATATGCAGAGCAATTTCTAGGTACCCACCTCTTCCTATGGCAGCTTCAAAGCTTCCATAGCTTCCCAGGTGCCCTAGCTGTTCACTCATGTGCCAAAGAATCCTGTAATTGATTCCACCTGATTAGATAAGCATGTGGTGGCTTCTAATAGCATCTCTGCAAAGTGCCTGTGAGGTATCAGAATCCAAAACCTCGCGACAATTCCCAAGGGATCCCAACAGCCAAGCGTATTTGCAAAATACAAGTTGAAAACTTGTGGTCTGTGCCTTTCACACCAATCTATAAGGAGCAACAATCAACATCTCTAATTCTGCTGTAAACACTGTGCTCCTAACTGCCAGTAGCATGAGAACTGAGCCCACAAACACAAAATTGGAAGAGGAAAAGGAGTTTGCCTGAAATCATGATTGTCTTACCTTGGGGCTGCTGGGCCTCTGAATCAAGCTAACTTTAAGACAACTGAACTGGAATATTTAAAATAAATTATTTTTAAATATTAATTTTTAAAAATAATAAAAAGAGTATCCAAAGAAAATAAGAGGTGATTGAAATAATAATACACCAGCAGAGAAGATAAAAGGCCAATTTCCCAAAGTAGAGTTAACCAGAGATTTTAATCACCTCCTGATGGAATTGCAGCTCCAGGTAGCACGCTCTTAAAGTCTGATTTATTCTGGGGTCTCTAACAGGCATCCAACTGTTCATCACTGAGAAAAATCTGCCCACCTAAACATGAACCTCTTGGCTGTCATTGGGTATTTCCTTTTGGGGGGCTGAAAAATTTGTTATATTGCCTTTCCATATTACTAGAAGTCATTCACCAGTGAGGTTGGGGTCAGGGGCTCATTTACAGCAAAACCCACAAATTTGTTCCCAGTGAGGGCTTCCATTTTCCAAAATGAACAATAAAAAATCTGAAGACATAAAAAATCAGCAGGGAATATTTCAGTTCCTCCTGTTACACAGCCAGACCTGCTCCACATCACAAAAATAAGAGTCCTGCAGCTGCTGTGCCACTGGAGAGTGTGCAGCATGACAAATTCAAGCAAACAGGTCACTCACAGAGCACCCTGGCTACATGTTGGCATTTGTGCCCACTGTACACCAAGCTAAGGGAAAATATGATTCCACTGATTTAAATAAGCATGATGCTCTAGTTCCTTGATAAAGGTATAATAAAATATCACTGAGGAAATATGCAAAATTATAGGTACTTGTTTATTTAATGACCCCCACATTGAATGCAAACCACATTCAAGCCACAGTGCAGAAGCTACTCCGAAGCTAAAGAGACAGGTTACCAGGCATTGGTCCCTTCCTGGGCAATTTTAGAGAACCCATGTCAGGCAGGCATTCATTTCCTGCCTTTTGGCAGCAAATGAACTCTTAAGCCTCCAAAGCACTCTTAAGAGAAGACACTTCATCCTTTACTCTCTTGTTATTTCCCAAGAACCACCCAGCCAGGCAGCAGGTTCAACAATAGTTAAGAGAGCTTCACTAAGGGCTACGTGGGATCCAGGATAAGCAAGTATTTCCACCATCTGAGAACCAGAGAACAGGAACACTTCCCACCCATTTTGACAGTCTTGCCCACTGGGAACTCTCTCCATTCACACTTGCCTGAACCTCAAGGCTGCAACCATACAAGGCCAAGTTGAAAGATGAAAACTTCCCAGGGCCAGGGATTTAGTTCAGTGGCACCACATCAGCCTCACAAGTACAAGGTCCTGAGTTCAATCCCCAGTACAAAAAAAAAAGAAGAAAAAGAAAAGAAAAAAGGAAAGATAAAAACTTCCCAGCCTAGAAAGTCATAGGCCAGACTATCAGTTATGATACTCCATTGATTATCCAGGTAACCACTATAAAGATTATCTTTTGCTGCTGATCTTCAGTGTTATTAAAAAGAAAAAAAGATTCATTAAGGAAAAACACAAATAATTTTCTCTTTACTTGTAGCAAAACCAAAAACAAATAATTGAACAATAGGAATTCAAGCCTAGGGCCAACAAACTTGCCCCAGTTTCTAACTGAAAATAAAGTCTAAAAAGTAGCTGACACTTTTCACTTCAAAGAGAAGAACATTGTTTGTGTTTGTGGCCTAAGATAGCTGAGGTCTTCTGGGAAACATTAGTTCAGGTAACCTAAAGGATTATTCACTGCTTAACTGAAACACTAATGCAGGTGCTTTTCTTAGGGTAAATGTCTGAGTCAAAGTTTTTCAAATTTGTTCTTTCCATTTATGGACAATCGCTGATTTTTCTCCAAACAGGAAGAAAGAGCTTGGGCTTTGGCCAAAAGTAGGACTTGACAAGCTACAGAAAGGCTTTCCCACCCAATTTACACTAGATTGTAGTTTCTTTCTTTTCTTTTTAATGTAAGCCAACAAAGAGATCCCATATACATGTAAATATGAGCTTTCCATTCGCTAACGTTTGAACTGAGGGGACCTCATAGTCAGGAAATGTAAACTGCTCACATATTCCAGCAATCCAGATAACACTCAAGGCAAAGAAGAAAAAGATGGATAGTGGGGGCAGGGCAGATGGGGGAGGGTCATGGCTTTGAAGAAGTTGTCAGAAGATATAATAAAAAATAGAAACTGGACCAAATTAGGATTTGATGTTGCTTGTCAGGCTGCTGGGGCAGCCAAGGACTAAATAGCAATGTTGTGATCAGTAGACTGGGTTTTCTCTATCAGGAGATGTCAAAACTGGTCTAATCAGAGAAGGGGAGAGTCAGTGATCTTTCTCCTCTCCAGCCTCCCAATCTAAGAGACACACTGCTTCCCACGAGGCTCGCAAGGTTCATTCACCAACCACAGTTAGGGCCACTTCGAGAAGCTAAAGGAGGCCACAGTCACTTAAAAGTTCCCCAGACCTGGGAAGATAAGAAAGACCTAGAGAGGACCTTGTAAGGACTTCCTCACAAAGAGGAGCCAGGAAGTTTCCCTAGTACAATGGGGTAGTTTCAAAGGTTTTCCAGCCTTAGAACTACAGAGCCCCAACCAAACAGGTCTAGGTGCTGAGTGATCACTGTTTAAAAGAAGCAGTAGCCAGCAGAGAATTGACACCTAGGGTGATCCCCCAGGGATTTTTCTCAAGTTTATGAGGTAAAAGTAGAGAGGCCAAGGACCCACAGCCCACCCTGACCCACCAAGTTCCTGTCGGACCTATTCCTACTGCAATACTTTGGGATTGCCTGGAATGTTCCAAACATTCTGGATACCCTGCCCATGAGCTCAGGCAGGGCCTCAAGTGAAAGATCCTTCTGTGTGGCAGTGGTGCTCTGACTCTTTCCTCACCACTACTCGGGAATCCTTTCCAGAGGCACTCGCCACACCTTGAACACTGCCTGTCCCACTCTGCCTCCAAACCTCATGCAGAACAAGCAGGAAGAAGGTTGTTGAATCCACCTCTTCTTTATGTAGACCTAGGTATGTTGAATGAATGTATGACAAAGGTCCATGTGTTTCTTGGTCAGTCTTAACTCCCAGGAACTCCAAAATAACCACTCTCACATTTGCATGATGTTCTGTGACTCACCAAGCCTTTGACACAAATGATTTCATGTGAAGCCCCACCACACCTTCTTAAATAGGGGAGGTATTCTGCTCTCCCTCCCTTCTGTTACTGATAAGGAAAGTGATGCTCAGAGATGCTCAGTGACCTGTCCAAGGACTAGACTTATCAGTAACAGTGTCATTAGCCAAACCCAAGACCTCTCCTTTTAAGCATAGTCCATTTATCCCTTCTTCCTGACTGAGCAAGTCCCATTTATTTTTCTGGGTGACACTGGAGGTCAGTCATCAAATGGCCCATGGGTCAGTCCTAACACTGAGTCCTGCAGTTGGAGTCTGAGCTTGGATCACTCTGACCCTGTCTCCCTTGCTTTCCAATTCCCCAAGAAATGTTTATTTCCCAGCTGAGAGAGGAAAAGCAGTCCACAAGAAACTTGCCAGCAGTCTGCTCACATGAGGAGTGATGAGAAGTGAGAGACTCAAACAATTCCCCGCAAGGATTTATTTTTGGTATTTTTTGACTGAAATGACAGCAAATAAGTCCACCTGAGAAACCAGCTGCATCTGCTTGCCTTTTACAGAAACTAGGGTCACTGGAGCAGAAAGGGTTCCCATCTCAGATATACCATGTCACAAGGTAGGGGTCAAGACCAAGGGACCTCTGGCAGAGCACTCACTGACCAAGTACTTGCTGAGCAGAGCAGACCAGGCCCCTGCCCTAAGGGAGCTTACAGTTTGCTCTTGTGGGATATACAGACTTAAATCAAGTAATCACATAAGCAAATCTAGAATTATAATCTGTGACAGAGGTCTGTCTGCTTCAGAATTGAAGTAGTTTGGGCTTTGAGGGCTGGTTTCCGCCTCCACCTGATTCGTTAAGACTTGAATGAGCAACAAGCTGAGGGTCCCTGTCATATAGGGTCTGTATAAAAGAATAGGGAAAAGAGGTATGACTGTTCTCTCTCCAATGCAGAGAGACTGGGGTCAGAGGCTCAAGCCACACCAGGAACAAGCCTTATCCAAAACATTGAAAGTGGCAGGCCCTGGATGAATCCTCAGGATGTTTCACAAGCTAGTCTTACCCTGTCTGATTAGCCCACCAGAAGAGCAGTCCAGGAAACTCAGATTCTAAGATGGAAATCACCTGCCTACAGAGGTTTTTCTACTGTGCCTCAAGTGTAACTGCCAGGGATTTAAATTTTCAGTGAGCCACAGCACTGGCTCTTCTTGAGCCAGAGTAGAGCTACCTTTGATGAAATCATAACCTACCTCCTTCTAAGGGATCTATTTCTACTGGAAGGGGAAGCAGGACCCAAAATCCTTGCATTGAACAGCAGTGTGGTATAGTTTGGGACCCACACAGACCTAATTTTGAAATCCTATTGCATTATCACCTGTGTGACCCTTAGCGAACCACTTAACATATATATATGCCTCAGTTTCTCCACCTGTAAAATGAGAATAATAATATCCACCTCAAAGGGTTATTAGGATTTATGAGATTGACACAGTTAAACATTAAACACCTGAATAATAGGTGCTCAATAAATAGCTATTTATCTATTAATCTCAGCCAATAATCCATGACCCATCTCTTGACAGTTATCCTTAGTGCAGTGACTCTAAATAACTCCCATTTTGCTACACCCTGTTAGTGAATGTCTGTCGTCACCATACCTAGGGCCTTCTGCTACCTGCAAGGCCTGTCTCAACCTGTCATGCTCCTGGAAGTGTCGTTCAGTAAATGAACCCAATGTCCCCAAGGACAATCTGACCTAGGAGACAAGTAGGCCAATGACGCTACAAAGGTACTAGTCGAAGACCCCACTTGTAGACAGAAATCCTAAATAGGAGATACCCAAACCTTGGCATTGGCTTTTTGTAAAAATACTAAGAGCTGAACAGACCTCCTTCTTCAGAAACCACCAGACGAGTAGGCTTGTGGCCAGTTTGAAATTTTCAAAA